CGCTGATACAACTTCCCAGGTAATTGAATTTTTGAACGACTTCTAGCTGATCCCCACCAAGGGTCAGCGTAGGAGGCGGTCCAGACCAATCTTGGAGAAACGCTTTGCACTTCGAAGGTGCGAAGCAAAGCCCGAAGTGACGGACAGCTAGTGCCAATCTGTCCAGTGCCGCTTGGCACGTTTGTGAGCTGTCACAGATCAGGGCAATATCATCAGCATACTCTAAATCAAGAAGTCGTTCTCCTGGGAGTAGCTCCACACCTTCTAAGTCGTGTCCTGTAAACGCGATTTCCATGACTTCGTCAACAGCGAAGTTGAAGAGGAAAGGTGACAGCGGGCATCCTTGTCTCACGCCGCTGGAGATATTAAAGGGCGACGACAACTTGCCGTAAGCCCTCACTCTGCCCGAGCTACGCGCATATAATGCTCGGATAATATTCACATATTTCTCAGGCACACCTTTCCTGAGTAGACAGTCCCAAAGTGCATGTCTATCCACCGATTCGAATGCACCTTTGATATCGAGGAACATGACAACGGTGGACCGCCAATATGTGTGACGGTGCTCCAACAACTGACGCAAGATGAAGATGTGGTCAATGCAGCCACGACCTCGACGAAATCCAGCTTGCTCTTCACGAATCTGGCTTTCACGAGTGCCAGTCAGTCTGTGAAGGATGACAGAGGCAAGCAATTTGGAGGCGATGGAGATCAGACTGATTCCTCTATGGCTGCCGCATTCCGATCGTGAGCCTCCTTTGAAAATTGGGACTATGATGGATCGGCTCCAATCGGTTGGGACAGTTTCCTGCTCCCACACTTTCACTAGTAACTCGTGTAAATCGTCCACAAGAGTAGGTCCCCCGAGTTTGAAAAGGGCTGGAGGAAGGTCATCAAGTCCCGCGGATTTATTTAACTTCAACAGTTTGATCTCATGTTCGACTTCTGAGCGAGAGGGTGGATCCAAAGGGACAGCCCAGGGAGTGGGGCGATCACTGGTCGGCGAGAAATCTAACAATTCCGACCGATTAAATTGCCTTTCAAAGTGCTCAGCCCAACGTTCCAGGCGTTTTGATAAGTTGTGGATAGGCTGTCCACTCTCGTCACGTATAGTTTCACTAACACCAGGTCTCCTGCTGCCCGTTTCCCGTATAAGACGGAATAACTCACGATGGTTACCAAGGGCAGCGGCCATTTCCATCTCTGCTGCACGACGAGACCACCAGGATTCGCGGTCTCTCTTCAGGCTAGCACGGAGTTTTGCCCGGAGCTCTTTGCGAGTTTCATTGTGTTCGCTTCCAGCCGGAATATGCCGGCGAGCATCTATAAGTTCCAGAGACTGTGTAGAGACCCAATGTTCATGTTGGCGATTAGACATACCACATGAGGATTTGCCTGCTGCTAGTAAGGCCTGTTGCATATGAGACCAGTGAGCTTCAATTGCCTGAAGTGTTGATAGATGCACTTATCCCGCGAGTTGTTTCACAGATAGTGGCGATGCTGGAGAAGAAATTTCACAAATAATCGTCAAACCCCGCCTTAAATTCAATAAGCTTAAACATTTGTGGCGTCGTCGCGACGTCAGTGTCAAGCCCAAAGGCAGAGTACCCAATGTCACCGTTCGTGGGTCCCTGTTGTACGGCCATGAGCCCTTGGCCCCTTCGTGGGAAAGATTTGAAACGAGTGTCAGCCTCCGAAAACCGATTTCGTGAACGATTGCCCGTGTTTTGAAGTAGCGCTATGTAAGCGATACGGAGGCCAGAAGCGAAGTACTCGGCGCAAGCAGTTCCTGCCTCCAGGTCATTATTTTCCGAAACCGTTTACGTTGGCTCGGTCACGTACTGCACATATCAGCCCATTGCTTCCTTCAAAGCACAGGAGTTGCACTTTGTGTGCCTAAATGGAAAAATGACCACGGTGGACAACCGATGACGTGGATGAGGAACATGAAAACTCTCACCTCATGTCTAGAGTCACTTGGATCTCTTTGTCTCCCAGGTCGCGTACTACGTGATACTGACTCCCAGTTGATAGAATTCTAAGAGGTTATGGCTCGCAATAGAAACCAACGGCGTCAATGCACTTAGATAGTGTTGGGAGTAAATGGTAATGGGTCTCAGCTATGGGCAGGGCTGCATCAGGAATGACTATGCCCAAGTGCAAGAGGATCACGGTATTAGGAAGGACCACGCGGGTTACATAAGCAGCAGGTTCAAACTCAGTACACGTCATGCAGCTAGTACTGTAGCACATGCAGTCGTGTGTGCCTCAGCCTTAGTCATCAGGGTTGCCACGAGGGGGACGAGATCGAAGAGTCGTCGCCTAAGTTCAGTGGGTAGATGTCAGCGCAGTATAATGACCGGTTGGTTCCAGGCAAGTGTCACGTGTGCTGCAACGTAGCTGCTGTTTATTTGTACATGTGCTTGTGAGCGTATATTGTCTTATTCTGATGACCCTTTCCGGGCGGTTTCCCAGGGCTCGTTGCGCCTGAAGCGAATGTTGGCATGGTGCCAAGCTGTCAAAAACCGCCATTCTTATTGCTGTTTCCAGAAGATTGTTAATCTCCCTAGACATATGTACCGCTTTTGACTCCGTTGATCGACTTGCTTTATGGCGTTGCTTGCTAAAGTAGGACGTGCCAGAAAAGTATACTGCCATCTTATGAAGACTGTACCTTCATCCCTCCGGTAGAGTGAGGATCTATGGCAAGCTTTCCTCGCCATTCGCTGTCAATAACGGTGTGCGATAAGGCTGCCCTATATCTCCACTCATTTTCGACTTCACAATCGAAAACCTTCTGTCGAGTGCTTTAGAAAGTGCCCGACATTTGGGCTTAGAGCTTCTACCGGGTGAGCGCGCGACCGACTTAGATTATGCTGATGATATCGCCTTACTTGGTGACGATCCTCAGGGTATGCAAGTCATTCTGGATCGTTTGACGGTTGAAGCATCTAAGTATGACACGAGCATCGCCCCATCGAAGTATAGTGCTGCTCCAGGTTTGGCCTACACCTGCTCCCGTGCTCACTCTAGAAGGTGCACAACTTCAACAGGTAGATAGTTTCGACTAACTTGGGAGCTGTTTCTGCTGACGGCACTATCAACAAGGAAGCTTCTCTCCGCATCGATAAAGCCCGAAAAGCATTTGCTAAGGCATTTGCTGAGGCACTTGTGGCGTCGTCGCGACGTCTAATTCTTACTAAAGAGCCGCGTTTACAGCGCATCTGCTCGTTCAGTGTTGTTGTATGACAGCGAACCCTGGCTACTTCGCGTGGAAGACATGCGTCGCCTTTCTGCCTTCGATAACGGTTGCTTAAGGAAGACTGCTCGTGTTTGGTGGCAACATGGAGGTAACAGTAATGACGTTTGACATCGCATCTTGGGGAATGCGAGTGTTCCCTTCAATAAGCTGATTTTGCTGCGCCAGCTGAGATGGCTCGGTCACGTCCTACGTATGGTACCTGAGCGTCTATCGCGTCGCGCCCTATTCGTTCGTCAAAGAAGTGGCTGGAGGTGACCACGTGGTGGTCAGCCTTCCATTTGGCGACAGCAAATGAAGTCGCTGACGTTGTGTCAAGCTGCTGTTGGACCCGTACGTCTTCCATGATGGGGACCCAAAGATGAGGAGTACCAATGGCTTAACACTCTTGAAAATTTGGCGCGCAACTGAAATCATTGGAAGAATAGTGTACAGAATTGTCTTGATTCACATGTTTAATACCTCAAACATTGTAAATGACGAAAAAGGAGGAAAATCGGCGCGTGAAAAACAAACTAAAAATGTTTTGTTCTATTTTTTGTCAAAATGTTCTTTTCTTCCTGCAACATACTGGCTGAAGCGTGTTTCTCACCTTCAACTACTATGCCAGGATGGTTATGACGCCGTGACTTCCCCTAATCCGCTAACCTCCATGGTTTTGTTGGCTCTATGTCTAGTTGCTAAACTGTTCATCTTTGCTAGAAGATACGGGGTGTACAGTCTTCGTGTGACACTGCTAGGCACAAGTAGAGGTCCCATACAAGATGGAATGGAATGCAAACAAGGCACCACTCTGTTTGAGTCTGGTATGCAAGCTTCCCCAGTTCAAAGGAATGATGTGCAAGTTAAAGGAGTGTGGACGAACTCGGAGCCAGTGCTATCCACATATCTCCCAGTGGAATTCCTCTGGAATTACACAGCAGAGGAAGTGTGGATGGAACTGCAGGTAATGCAGCAAAAGCCAGCCATGGATCCTCCGTAGGCGCTGCGTCCTGTGGTTGTCCCTATGGAGGCCGCAGCTGCAGGAAATCACAGAGGTGAGATGTAGCCCGTTAGAATGGAAAGATTCAGAACCATGGTAAGACAAACACAACACGTATGCCACTTTTTCTGGGAAGGTAGATGCACATGCTATGCCGCAAAGACTGTGCAAACTAAAAGGTAGGACAATGTATGGGACAGAGGATGCATATTCAAGCAATGGTACTCTGAGCTTAAAGGCTGTAAAATGCGGGTGTTCACCAGATTAAAACATTTCCCATTAAAGTACGCCGGCTTATTAGAATAAACCTGCATGTGTAGTTCCAGGCAAAAAAGGTAACCAAGCCCCGTATAGCGTCGACATGGTAAGAACATGAGGTAAAGAGGGGTGGCAAATGAAATCGAAAAACGAGCAAACCCAATAAGGTTAATCGAAAGAGGGTCAAGACACCGGATTGTCGGAGGAAAGATAAACATTTATGAGAAAAAGACAGACCAAGAGGCATCAGTGATTTGTCCCAGTATGACGCTTGTGAGCAGTCTGACTGGAACGAATATTGAAGCTTGCTTGGTAAAACGAGAACGAGGAATGCTCTGAAAAACTAGTAAAGATAAAACGGACACCGAAATTAACAGGTGGTGATGGAAAAACCCAATTAGCAATGTGCTGATCGACTGGTGTGTTCGCCACAACGGTCACATGCCCCTTGTATTTTAATGAGACGGCAAGATAATTCGCATGGGGAAATGTGAAACTCACAGAGACAATACATGAGAGTGTAGATGAGACCACCGGCGAGGAGAAAAAGAGCGGATCCTGAGTGAAACACATCTTGGAATGCTTCCATAATGAGCCCGTAAGATTTGGCCAGGCCTCCCAAAAGAAAATTAGCAACGAAGCCACCTAGGCGGAACGAATGAAGCCAGGTCAAGGGTGAGAAATCACATCATTTGCATCGGTAGCTTCTAGTAAATAGAGAAAGCACGTGATACCGGAAGGGGCCATGCAAGCCAGTTGTCACGGCACGATTTATGAAGAAAGTGCAACGGAAGACTAGTGGAAAAAGCGAACAAGATGGAACACTTGGTGAGTGAAGCAACTCTGAGGATGCTAAACAGCGACACGAAAAAAAACCGCTAAAAGTAACCAGGGCAGAATCCGACGAGTTATACATGTAACAATTCAAAAAAGGATGCAGATGAACAGACACATAGACAAATCGAACAACGCTAGGTCACATCTTTGCAATTCACCGCTTAGGGGTGCGTTTCGTCATTATCAGCAATCGTACCCAGTGTAAGGCAATTAAAAGAAAAGCGGAGCAATCGCTCCAACACCTACAGTACGTAACCTTTCGCATCCTTTCATGCTGGTTTTGTTTTATTCTTATGGCAAAGTATCGGACAAATAGTTTGCCTTATGAATCGCAATCTGGCTCTAGGAAACCTCGAGTCTGCGCAGATGTCGATAATGACTCCATGCAATAGAAGAATTGGTTTTAGGTAACAGCCCTTGAATCCACACATCCTTCGATTGTGCAACTTCGCCACATATCTGAAGAGCATTTACTTCGTAAACGCAGAAATAAGATCGAAATGGCACCTCTTTGCTTGATACTGAAGATAAGTTATCAGTCCATAAGCAAGGTTATCAAGAACAGTTTCCTATCTGAGGAGCACAACCAAGTTAATATTCAAGTCAAGAAAGTGCTTTATGCAGTAAATACATAAGTAGAGTATTAAATGGCATAAACAGCACTATGGTTATGATGCAAACTGGCTTGTAAGCTCCAGGACAACTGATGTCAGTCATACAAACAGCGTGTCAAATATGGAATAATGGGTGAGTGATAAGCCCTTGTGCGGACACAAATGGAGCTATACTTTTGTCTGATTTTGGATCCTGATAAACACTCAGACAGTGCACTATGAAGAGGGTGACTTATGTCAGTAAGTATTCTCGTAGCAAGCCTTATGCATGAATTGGTGTGAGTGGACACAAGGATCTCAGCAAAGGTCGGCTTGGGAATTCCCCTACACCGAGATTATTGCGTCAGTGACCTACTTAGGATTTTGAAGTGCTTCTTTAGGAAACCAGAAAATCGCACAGTGGAGCAATAGGTGCAAAGGTACAAGACACATGCGGTGATAAATTTCAGAATTCAGGGGCGAGAGAGAGAGAGAGAGAAGATCACAAACGAAGGGCGCAGAACGAAAGCCTCCTCACTTTTGTAGAAACATCATTGAGATGGAGTGACCAGGAAAGATCACGACTGAGTGTTACTCCTAGGTACTTCACTGACAATCTGGAGTGCAACTTCTCGTCATCTATGTGAAGTTGGGGGTGTTCCATGAGAAGTTGCTAATAACCATGGCCTTTAAGTAGGGAGAAAATGACGTTATTGCGTGTTGATGCAATCAACGATAAGAAGTGAGCTCACGACCATCATACAAGGCTGTGCAGATAGGCTTGTAATTTAGTAGATGAGGCTGCGGTCGGTTGTTACATACCCAAAACTACGTCGTCTGCAAATTTCAGCAAAACCGCGCCGGCAGGTGCAGGTAAAGAGGCAATGTAGGTGGAAAAGTGGTATGGTGATAGTATGGCTCCTTGAAGAACCCGTGTCCATGGTGAGCGGCGAGGAAGTTTCACCTCCAAGTCGAGTAAAATGGGCACGTCCAGTGAAGTAGTCTCTCAAAAGGTGGACAGTAGAGAGTTGCATTCTGGCATCATGCAGATCAATCAAATGAGCTCACGATTTACACTGCCAAAAGCATCATTGTAACCGAGAGAACATACATACGGATTTTCCCTTGTTGTCTATTGATGACAGCACTGAATGTACAAGATAGGCTAATGCGTCTTGAGTAGACAAACTACGAGAAGCAAACTGTAGCGGATCATGATAATGAGTCAGATTCAGCAACTTCTTAAGAATACTCTTCTCGAATATCTCCAAGTTTGCCAAGATGCAGATAATTGCTTGGTATTTATCTGAGCATTTCTTTGGCATCGGTTCAATTCTGGCACTTCGCTAGCACTCAGCAGTATTACACGCTTTTGTGCACAACGGGTATAGGTCAGCAAGAGGCTGGATCAAGGAATCGGCCCTTACTTTGAGGACAACTGGTGATAGTCGATCCGAATCACTTGCTTTGTTGGAGTTCAGCTGTAGTAGTTTATTGCGCACCGTATTTCTGTCAATGGCGAATAAGGAGGTTGCGGGCCGATCCAATCGTGAGGAAGAAGTGTGAGAGGTGGAGTTAGCATTGAAACAACAGACGTTTCGGTTCAGTTCTTCCAGGTCTAAATCTGGATTTGACATTAGGTTACAGACTCCACTAAGTGGTTTCAGCATACGCCATACATCTTGGCAGCTATTATTTCCCAGTATCGTCTGGACATATAGGTGGTTTAGACGGCGCAACATAGTTTTGATAAAAATAGAAAAATATTTCACCGCAACGTGGTCTTTCGTTATGAACGCCTTGTATTTGAGTCTACGCAAGCGTTTTTAGGTATGGAGATGAAAACCGATCTGCGCGGATGAAAATGGTTTCCAGTGCACAGCAGATATCAAAACAGAAGATGATGTATCTCGTTAACTGGTTGCAGTATTTAGATATATCGTTGTCAAAAAATGTAGTAAAATGTGTGGATGAAATCATTTCCTGGAGGCGACGTATGTTCTCAGGCGAACATTGCCTTCCTTATGGCGTACGATCTTTACAACGAGTAATAATTCCTATGATTTACTTTGCTGTACACGATAGATAACTTGATATTCAAGTGGTCAAAACTACCGAACGGTGCCTGGTCGCACACAACAAACAGCATTGTTAACAAATATAAGGTCTATAGTTGCATCAACTCTGGTGGGGGAGATACAACGTTTTGTAGCCCAAGGTCTGTAAGAAAAGTGGCGTCAAATCTGATAAAATCATCAGAAAAGATGCGGAGAAGAATCAATGTGGTCGATGACATTTGAAGTGAACCGATCGTAAAATTCCTCGGCCTAAGACGAGGGACAACTGGGGGCAACGTAAATAGTTGTAGACAAAATCGATTGGTAGCCCCTTAAACATCTTGGTTTGCATATCAAAATCAAACAGTTAATATGTGGAGAGGAAAAGTGAAACCCCGTGCGTCACACGGGATTGACATAAGTGATGACTCCTCCGCCGCACCACTTATATGTAGTTGACCGTTTGACACCATGGCAAATGAATCTCTCGATCGCTACAACCTCGTCATCAACATCCTCATGAAACCACGTCACTTGAAGTATAATTACGCCAAGCTTGCAGTATTCATGACAGCGAATCTTGCCTTTAATCGCATCCATTTTTCTCATAACCGATCGGATATTTGAGCTTATTATGATGGGTATACTCATACATCGCAGTGTTTTCTTTTTTAGAACAATCCTCCATCCAGCACGATGCTTTTTAGTAGAATTATTGTGCTTTTGTAGATCCGCTTCAGTTTATTTTTTAAAGCTTGATCGTGAAAAATCGTGAAGTTCAATGGAGTAGAAACACATAGGGATTTTAAAATATCTCGAGTATAGGTCATCATGGTCTTGAAGATTGTATGGATTGGGTAGAGAGAAGCAAATGCAAAAACTGCCGAAAGCCTTAGTGTAAGTAATTTTGCAGATGGAATAAAAGAACAAGGCCAAGTTTGAAGGCCCCGCCACTGTTGCTTGGTAATAGTTCTGGGGTAGAAAATTGAATTATCGGTTCAAAGTACCTTCGGTACAGTGTTCTACAGTACACCAGCCTCTGTCAATGAGACGCTTTTAAGCATCTGAACCAGTCGGAACACCGAAAATCTCTTCACGAAGTAACCGAACGGTAATAACTGGTCCAGTTTTTAAAACATGAGTATCTACAAAGGTCCCTGGTGATTTCTAAATAAACTGACACCCTAATAAAGCCATGGAAAATTTAGTGGAAATAAAGCATGTGCTATAAAAACAACTAGTTTGTGGAGTAAACACCGTTTGTTTGCGTAACGGTAATTGTCCACACTTTCAACTCATGGGTGATTTCAATTGCTCTCGGATGCATTGGTCCGAAGCTCGGTCGAAAGCAAAGCTCGCGGAAATGGTGCCTGAAACTAGGACAGCACAACATACCTGCATGCCGACCACCATGAGGCCGCGCGCTCAACTCCAGTGTGCATAAACCTGATGTTAACAAGGTGCGCACATGTGCGTGACCTGCATGACATGCAGGTCCTGGAGTCTGTGGCGACAAACGATCACCCAGCTCTCACAGTAAACATGAGACGACCCCAGTAGTCTGTCTGATCGATAGGATTGGTGTAGAACTGCACTAGAGTGAGGAGGAATTATCGAAAACATATGTCTGCTAACACTGACTTTCGATTATCTAATGGGATTCCTGGAAACTGCAAAACGCAAGTTGGACCCGCCTGTGCTGAAACTGCTCAACAGATGTGTGGGCTACCGGACTAGGATTGCAAAGATGATGTCTCGGTTTTATCGAGGGCTGCATAGGAAGCGATGTGTATTCAGCTAGTCATTGGAAATCACTTCGTCGTTCATGTAGCAGGACAGATAGCAGATGTCTAAAACGTCTAGCAATGAGCCAGACAAATGGATTCAAACGCGTCATGAATCAAAGTAACACTGCAGTAGCCTCACTCTGAACAAAGGAAGGTTGTCATCGTCAAACAAGGAGACAAATGATGGAATTCACTGCCGAAAACATTGGAGGAAAAAACTAGGACGTCATTTCCAACCAAATCTGAAAAGTATGTCATCCCTGGTGCTCGGTCATATTACGGTAGAAGTTTTGTTCTTGGGCCCTAAGTTCTGCCTTCTAACAGAAGAGACAACAGAGTAGCAACTGAAGGTCAGTTCGAAAACATATTCT